TTCACTGTCAGGGGGGGGGGGGGGGGGGGGTTCCGCGGAAGTAATGGACGCCATGTCGTTTCTGGTTCGCCACTGAAGGACCCCCGTCCTGCAGGAACGGAAGCTGAAAAGACATGTGTGGAGGGGGGAGGGGGGGTCGAGCGGGTGTACAGGACGTCACTGAAGGACCCTCGTCCTGTAGGAAGGGGAGCTGAAAAGACGTGTGTAAAGGAGGGGGGGGGTCAAGCGGATGTACTCGAGAACCAATCGTGCTCTCACTCATGCCCGTCCTAGACCAAAAAAGCGAAAAAAGCGACACTCATTCCCGAACAAGGGTGCCCAGTCAAAGAAGAGCTACTATAGTACTGCCCTGCACGATATACGCACAAAAAAACACAGAGAAAGCCCGAGCGTGGAAAGTGTCTATTCCTTGCTGGCAGTTTTCTTGATTCTTCTAGACCAAAAAAAGGGACGCTCATTCCCGAACAAGGGTACCCAGGCTAAGAAGAACTAAATACTGCCCTGCAGGATAAACGAAAAAAACAAAAGCAGACAAGGTCCGAGCGTGGAAAGCGTCCATTCCTTTCAGGCATTTTTCTTGATTTTTTTTTATCGCCAGCTTGCTTGATGCCTACCACCCACCACGCACCTTGTTCCCGTGAATGTGCATGTCGTACAGCCCTTCGTTGAAAACGTTTCCAACCCAACGCGCGGCCATGAGCGTGAGCATGAGCGGCAGGACGTACTGCATGTCCCCCGTCGCTTCCAGTATGATCACCTGTTTTTTTTTTTTATTGAGAGAGAGGGAATAACGTCGACGAGATCGGCACAGTACTGGTGTCGTACGCTACTGTTGCTCTTGTCGTCGCCGTCGTTGGTTTTGTCACTTTGGCTCGACATAGAAACCGTTCCGACTCCCAGTACCCCCACACTCTTGAGGAAAAAAAAAAAAAGTTTGTACAGAGGCTGGATTCGTTGGGGCATAATATAAAGAAGAAAAAAAAAGTAAGCCTCGCTGACAATTCTCCTTGAGGAGGAGAAAACATTCAAAACAAGTTCAGTGTAGCCTTCTTAGGTTTTTCGTACTACATATGTAAACACGTTGGATAAAGCATGCAATCGGGGAAGGGTTAGGGTTAGGGTCTACGTACACCCCCTGCCCGTTCTATTTCCTCATAAAATAAATTTCTCCCGAAGGCGGTTCAGAAAGTCTCCGGGGGGGGGGGTGTACTCATAGTCGTGCATGCCGTGGTCGTTAGACCATTGACCTCGCATCCCTACAAAGCCGGGACGGAGCACGCCGGGTTCTCACCGGACCAGGCTCTCACATCACCAAGCGCGAAGCGCCGTGAGGTATTTGGCGAGTCGCATGAAGGGTGAGCTGCATCCTGCTAAGGGTGTTCGGCATCTTGTGCTTACTTCCTTGCGTACGAATGACAGCTACGTATGAGTTAATTTATTTTCTGGTGCTTTCACTTCCAGAGACAGTTGTAAGCACTGTGTAACTGCCTCGAGGATGCTTGACCATTTCAACACAACATGGTGCGATGATCCCCCTTGCGCGGAGTGAGGGTTCTCCACCCCGCACAACATGACCTACTCGACCACCATTATGGTTACACCCAAAAAAAAAAACGAGGTAAAAAAAAAAGACGGTAAC